AGTTTTTTTTGGCTTTTTATCTTCAAATTGATGGGCAAACGAAATGAGTGAATCAAATTTTGGAACAGTATTTGAGGTATACTATCAACTATCAATAAGATGATTGGACAACTCTTTTGCCATTGGCAGAATTTATATATAATAATTCAATAAATTCTTCTATTTAAAAAAACCTTTCTTTGCTAATTATGGTTATCATCCATAACTTGATACTTTTGACTTTTCAAAAGTTGATAATCCTGTGGCAGAAGATTTAGCAAATTATTTATCAGAGCTTCATGCAACAATGAAGATACAATTAAAAGAAGCTCAAAGATGGAAAAAGACCAATGCAAATACCTATCGCAAGGAGCAACTGCAATTCAACATAGGTAACAAGGTATGGTTACTTCGTCACAATATCAAGACTACTTCTACTTGTGATAAGTTGGACTATTGTAGGCTGGCACTTTTTTCTATTTGTAAACAAATCAATCTTGCTGCTTATCAATTATATCTATCAGAGTCTATGAAGATCCACACTATATTTCAAGTATCCCTTCTTGAGCTGTATAAGACAATAAATATTTTGGAAAGCAGACAAATGCCACCTCTTTCTATAGAAGTAGATGATAATCAAGAATTTGAGGTGGAAGAAGTCTTAGACTCAAGGCAGCACTAAAATAGCTTGGAATATCTTATTCATTGGTGCAAATATGATATTAGTGAACATATATGGGAGCTATCAATGAATCTTGTAAATGTAGCAAAAAAAGTTGAAGCTTTTCATTAACAAAATCCATCAAAATCAAGATGAAGATTAGCAAATCTTTGCTATAAAAGAAACAAGATTAAAGAAAAATAACATTCTATCTTCTATCTTTCTTTGTAGCTTGTGTGTATTTGTAATGTAAGGAGATGGAGAATCAATAACCAGCAAATTCAACTCAAGAGCTTTCATTTGCAGATTTTTCAAATGAGACATTGAGATTGTGAAAACCTTCAAGATGACGGAATTGAGATGAAGATCCTCAAGAATGACATGTCCTTCCTCAAATAGATGGTGAGATACAACATGTTTAGTATCATGATATTGGAAGAGACTCCTAGTACTTGGTGATTTTATTAGAGGTAGGAACAATTCCTAATGGTGTTCCAAATGTTTTATTTAAACGAAGTTATGAAGGCCTCAACAATGACCAAATAACAAGGTGGTCTTCTTGTCCTAGTATGGGACACTATTGATGGCTGAGAGAGCCTATCAACCATCTTCAAAGAAAGCAAAGAATGGAGTATGTGACAAATATAATTTGCCACATCTTAGACTTCCTCAACATATGAAGACCACTCCTCATAGAACTTGTTCCTAGAAGAGGAGATAATGTCATGGATATATATATATTTACTTCAATAATTACTTATATTATTAAATAGAAATAGATAAATATAAATTATTTTTATAAAGTCTTTTAATGAAGCTTCTTAGAAGCTTCATAGATACAATTTTGACTTTAGATGTGTTTGTAGATCAAAAGCTTGGCTAACAAGTTAATCACATATTCATAGCTTCTTGAACAAGTTAATTCCATATAATACCTTGTAGAACAAGCTAACTATATGGCGCACACATAGATAACTTGCCTTGCAAGTTAAGACATGTGGCTACCAAAGTCAACATGTTTTAGAGGTCCTATAGGACATTTCCACATAGCTCCTTGTTAAGAGTATATATGGAAGCAAGAGTGAAGCCTTCTTCACACTTGTAAATGTTGTTCTAGTCCTTAATCTTTTTTAAGACTTTCTAGTCTTTTTGTTTTTGGCAATAGCTATTCTAGTTAATATTACATTATCTTTTAAGTAACTTTCTAGTTCTCTTCAATGACACAAGAATTTATCGAGGATTTTTTTTCTTTGAGATTTATGTCCCTAACAGTTGGACCTTTAGATTATTCATAAATTCTTCTTTTTAGGCATAAATAATTATATGATATTTGTTGTATTATCATAATTACTAACCTTATAAAAAAAACACAATTTTAGATTTAGTTTGGCCAAATTCACACTCTAAATACCTCTACTTTCAAATTTAGTTCTTTTGTAATAAATAGAATTGATATCTAATGTTATAATAGTATCAAGTTAGGTAATTATAACTTATTTTTTTAACCATTAAATTAATTATTCTTTCAATTCATATTTAGAGTAATACTATCTTTTGGAGATAAATGTTAGAAGGTTCAATTTTGAATCTTGAGCCATTTTTATTTCTTTTTTTATTTTTTTCTTCTTAATTATCTAAAAATAAAAAAGAAATTTAAGTCAATTTTATCATCTAATAAAATTTTATTAAGATTAAAGATTTCAAAGATTTTACTAATGGTCTCTATTACACTTCTCTTTGTAAAGCCTTAAAATATGTTATTAACTTCATTAATACAAACTATACATAATATGATTATTATTGTATAAAGTTATTATTTTAAAATAATATTTAATTTATTAGTCACAATCTTTAATACTATTTTTTTTAGTGATTATTATTATTTTAAATTTCAACTTAGTCATGGCAGTTCCTACCTCTAAGTTGTCTTTGTAGTGACTATCACTACTTCTACTTTCAATTTTGTATTAATAATTATCAATATTATATTATTCTACTGGTTGTAATTGTTACTACTTTCATTTTCAACTTGGTGGTGACCTCTATTCATGATATTCTCCATCATAACTTCCAATTTTTTTTAATAGTGATATTCATGACATCATGCTTTTTTTCTATTTTTTGATATTTATTTTTCTTTAGTGGTGACCATCACTATGTCATGCTTATTTTTAAATTTTTTGTAGAACTGACCATCATCACTTGTCTTTTCTTAATAATAATTATTACTTCACTTATTACTATATTTGACAAACATATAAAAAACTTTGGAATACCATCCATTTCAAGTGGACTTAGATCTTACTGCCTTAAGTAGGTGGTACCCATAGAAAGTTGGCTAGGAACTTGTGGCCTCCTATCCTATAAATTGTAATAGCTAAGCAAATCTCCTATCTTTTGGCTATAAAAGCATATTCCTTATCTTCTGACTATGGAGCAAGCTAATTACAACTTACTATATATATATATATATATATATATATATATATATCACATTCAAACTTTTCTACTACATACTTATTTGATAATTTTTATATCAACTAAGATTAAATCCATTAATTTCACATTTAACAATATAGTAGCTAATTGATTGAGTTGGAAGTCTTCAAAGCAAAGAATTAGCAAGATACTTCATCTAACAATGTTATTTTATACATAAATAGATAAATTGATCAATTTATTGTAATCTATCCTTGAAATAGATGAAGTTTTGTAGTGTATACATATATACAACCAATGATAGAAGCTTAATCTACCAGTGGTGTGACACAAGTAATTTGGTATTGGATTTTCTTGTAGAAGCTGCAACAAAAATATCCTAAATGGGATTATCTTAATTGTATGATCAAGTAATATTCTATTGGTATTAAAGATATATACATAACCTTCAATTTGAATTTTTAGAATAAGTATTCAACTTGTATTTTGACCTTTCTATTTCATCTACTTGCCATCTATGCTTGTAAATAGAGCTGTTTCATAGAACATTCTTAAGAATGGGACTTTTGACTATAATTTTTTTCACCAATCTAGCTTTTGCCAAGCCTACTATCCATTATTTTCTCTTTTTTTTTTCTCTAATATTTTCATTTCTTTTCTTTTTACATTTTTTTTTATTTTGTGACAAAAGTTCATCTAATTTTGTGACAAACTCGTTACCTGTGGGTCCTTGGGCATGTTGAGACAAAAAGGTATGTCGAAAGATTTTATATTTGCACAAATAGCTGAATTAGATGAATGTAGACTACCAATATCCATCCAGAACAATCTCCTTTAAGTACAAGCTTGAGGAATATTCTCTCATTCCTGTTTGGTGATGTTCAAGAAAAATCCAAAGACCACTTGTAGATGGTGAAAACTGTTGGATCAGGAGCAGCTGACACAGTACACATGGGCAACACTGGCATGTGCTCTGCATCACAAGGAATTTCAGTCGACCTAGAGGCTCGGCACAGGCAGCATGCCAAACATGTTATTACAGATAACGTCATTAAGTTCTACAAAGTTGATGATAGTCTCATGTGAATTCCTTTGCTAGTCGAGAAATGAGTTCAGTTTTATCCAGAATCGTGTTTCAAGTGGGTCATCAATGTTGCAGATTGTAAAATTTACTGTCCTATACCTACGTCGTTTCGATGCTCTGCCAAGCTTTAGTTGGATCATCCAAGGTCGCTCTCTCTTACCCGACAGGGTTCGTCACAGCTTCAATTTAATCGGTCGCAATCTTCAGCAGGAGAGTAATGGCCTGCTCTACAGTGTTCTCCATGTCTGATTCTGTATTGAATCCCCGCTTTGTCCAATGGTTGGTCACCATTGTAACAGTGTCCAATACAACATCAACAATCACTCCAGTGCACTTAACCTGTTACTGATAGAATTGAGCTACGTGCGCCATTTTCTCGAATGACTTCAGTAATTGTTCAGTTAAACGTGAAGAGAACGGCGTATAACGTGAATTACGATGTGCAGATGGATCAATGTATCGTCTGAATTGGTGACAGATATTTGTAATGCAGGCTGGATATGCAGCTCTGGGTTGTAAACAGCGTAACATATTCACTCGTCTAAACATATGCAGTCTGTTAAAACCAATGGGTTTCTTAGGAATAGAAGATGAATGTTGCATGTTCCGTACAGATGCCTACTTTAGGGCTAACCAGTAGATCATTCGGTGAAGTATGAATGCGGCAGTTGATTACATTGTTTGGATACGCAGTGCAATGAGTTGCCTCTGACGGAGGTGAAAGATTCAATTAGTCCGCTTTGGCCCTAAAGAATGTGTAAATATAGGAATGTCTCGGGGCTGGAATTGGGCTATAAATACCTGCACACGACTGGTTGCACTCAACTGCTAAAATAGTTACATGAAAACGCCTGCGTACTGAATTAGGAAAAATTAACCGTCAGACAACAAGTAACGCAGGATGCCAAAATGCACCTGACGAATGTAACCCACCCATGAGTGAGTACGAAAAATCTTAAGTTTTTGTGATCTCACATTCGAAACTCCTCTCGCACCGCCGCACGAGAATGTTCTGGAGGCCAGCTACCCTTAAACGAAGACTACACATGTTCTCTGGCAATAAAATAAAATGCAAAATCGATCCTATACACTGGACTTCGGGACTGGAATAAACATTGTCTCACATCAGTATTCACGTACTCTTCAAGCCGTTCTAAAGTTGGATCTGATTTGATCGACAGTCGCTTGGTCAGTGCGGAATCCGTTCCGAAGCACACTGTCGTCAATCGGTGGAGTAGAATTGAACAGACTCGGAGCTATCTGCAGCAGCCCCGGAGCTTGGCTGTTGAATCCGGCAAAGGCCAATGCGGGGCCACTGCCAACATTTATCTGGAAATGCACGAGCCCTCTGGGGAAAACGAAGACGTCGCCCTTGTAGAGTGTTGTAACGAAGAGCTTGTTGGCTGTTGTGATGAAGCCCATGTAAAGAGCACCTTCCATCACGAGGAAGATCTCCGTGGCACGGGGATGAGTGTGGGGCACATTGATGCCTCCCACATCGAAATCAAGACGCGCGAAGGCAGCGCCGAGAGTGTTGAGCCCCGGAAGCTGCGTGACAAACACTTGCGTCGTTTTCTGTCGGTTCCCATTGTTGGTATCTCCCCGATTGTGGAGGCCGTGGTAGATGAAGTCGTTCACAGTGACTGCATCTGGGTCCTTGCACACGTAACCGTTCACTTTCACGGGGCTCGAGAGGTCTGCGACACAAATATCCTGCAAAGGTGAGGGGTCATTAGCTACGACGAGCACAGGGGAAAGAGCACTTCGGACGACAAGGTAGAGAAGAACGGCGCCTTTGAGCGCCTCCATCGCGATATTTCTACTTCTGCCACGGTTTTCTAAACCTGGAACCTCCTCGGGGATCAATGTACTGTTCGAAATCACAAGACAAATCCACAACGCTGCAGCGCAGGAAGCGGGAACCCAAATATTGTTTGACGGACAGACGAGACTGAACAGGAGCTGCAACTTATACTTGACCTGGGAGACTGAGAGAGGAGCTTCGCAGGATGCCGCAACTGGGACCTTCAGTGCAGTCAGGATGCCGCAACTGGGAACTTCAGTGCAGTCAGGATGAGGAAGGGTACAAGCGGCTTTAACTATTTCTCAAGTATTATCCTGCAATGCAAGAGCTCGGATGCAGTGCATAGAGTGCAGTAATTGAATGAAAGATTGGAGGGGGGAGACACGACGAGTGTAGGAATTTAAAGCCCCTGCGAAAAGTACTCCTCATTGTACCCCAGGTCTTCTTCCTCCAGGGCCATGGCCACGCCTTCTGTGCATGTCAGACCACTCCATGTGGTGACACACTTGAGATTGGAGGTATGGAGGCTGGAAACTTGGCCGCATCCACATAATTGTAGCACTGATTTTAGTGATTGTTCAACTCTTGTTTGTTTATTTGTTTGTTTGTTTTCTTATTTTTGTATAATAGGGGAAATTTTGGTTGTATATATTATGTAAAAATATATATTTTTTTTAGAGAATTAGGTGGTTAAATTAAGAAGTCCACTTTGAAAAATCATGGTTTGAAAGTATTACAAGTGTTTTCTACTTGGTGTAGAAAAGTTGTTCTTTTGTAACCTTGGCTTATAGAGATGGTTTAAAGCGAGAAGAGTCTATTGTATGGACAAAATCATTCTTTTATTATGATGCTGAATATGTAAAAGAAAATCTTCATTCTAACAATTTTACAAATATGATAGATTGGATTTAAAAAAATAATTAATACATTTATTTAATCAATTTCGAATGTAACTTTTTAATATTGTAATCTAAAAACCTTTTCTGAAAGGTAGATGTAAAACAAAATTCTAGAAAATAAGATAATTTATGCCATACATACTTCTCATATTCTACATCACATTTCATGCAAACATTTATAATTTCTTTAGATAGAAAAACCTCTATCTTTTTTTCTTTTCTTTTTTCTTTTAATATTTCTACTTTAGATTTGCCATATATCTATTAATTACACTTAGAGCATAAAAGTTATTTAGTCTATTGTTGTTCTCATTGCATTCAAGCTTCAATATACCAAAGCAATTGAATTAATAGAGGTGGGTTCGAACACGGGAAAAGACTGGTTATATGAATTGGGTCTGTTAGTGTCACAATTGACTGTACTCTCACTGTTTGAAATCAATTATCAAACTAAAAAATATCAAGGCTTACTACTTTCATCTTAATTCAATCCATAATCCATTCTTCGATTATTAATTCAACAATACTTCTCTCAATCACAATTCTTCATAAGTAAATAATAAAAGCAAAGAAAACAAAGAAGTAGCACCTAGCATATCCCGGCTTTCGACTCTCACAGTCTGACTCTCGGCTTAGGACTCTCACAGTCTGGCTCTCGGCTTACGACTCTCACAGTCTGACTCTCGACTTACGACTCTTATAATTTGGCTCTCGACTTATGACTCTCACAGTCTGGCCTTGATCTCTCTTTCCTCAACCTATTTATCCTACCAAAAAGATGATCTATCAGCCAGTAGATTCCAAAGGTTATGATCCTTTGAATTCTTAACCATTTATTCCACTAATAACCTACTATTACCAGTTAAATTGCCTAACCATAAGTTTAATTCTCAAGGTTGTGAATAACCAACCAGTAACTTACCACAAAGTTTATTTACCTATTCTACATAGCCCCACTCCTAATTGTGCAACATCTTCACAAACATTATTTAGCCTCAACTTATAAAGACGTAATAGCGTTGGCTTCTTCAGTCAATGGTGTTGGCTTATCACCTTTTGAATTGGTGACCTTCTCCGCTTTATATCTTCATTATCTGCCTCGGAGTTTGAGGGTTCTTCATCCAACGCGCCGTCAGATCTTCATTCAACAAATCCAATTCCCGCATCTAAAACTCACGTCAGGCAATTTGGTTGTCACGCTCCTCCATCATCTTCTGCCATTCTTCTGTCGGTTTCAAAGGTATCTCCAAAGGTGTTATTGCTAAAACTGGTGTAATGGTCCACATTAAATTATTGGCCTCTTTCGCTAATGAGGCTAGTTTAGTCTGCAACATTGCAACCTTTATCTGCAGCCGCTCTTCCCGTTCTTTCCAATGGGTCTCCATGCTTGCTTTCTCACACACCATGTTTGCCATCTTTTCCTTAACCACAAAAGAAAATACGAAGCTTGTCAAGAGCCCCCCTCCTACTTCTTACTATAGTCTAATCAATTGGATCAACTCTCCTTTTTCGAACTGAAAACCAGTCTCGGGTTTAGGTATAGTAAAGTTTAAGCTGATTGCCATTGATCCATGTTATAAATTTAGTATCCATAAAATCTTCTAATTCTACTGAACCATTTGGAAATCCGTCAATAACTCGATATGGCCCATGCCATTGAACTTGAAATTTGCCTGAAAAAATTTTAAATCAACTATCATAAAGAAGTATCAAATCATTTGGCATAAAAGCCTTTGCTCTAAGCTTACTATCATAATAAGTCTTCCTTCGTTTTTGTATAGTTTTTATTATCATTAATGCATTGGCTCTAGTTTCATCCAATTTTTTCAATTCTTCTAAATGGTGCCGTAATGAATCTTGATCTCTCAATCTATTATCTATAGCAATTCGTAAACTTTGGACTTCCAATTCAATAGGTAATATTGCTTCATAGCCATAAACCAATTAGAAATGGATAGTATTGGTACTAACTTTATATGCAGTATGGTATGCCCGTAAAGCTGCGAACAACTTAGTGTCCCAATTTGTTTTCACTCCTAAAACTGTTTTTGTTAAGATTTTACATAAAATTCTATTAGTCTTTTTTGTTTGTCCATTGGCTCTAGGATGATACGGTATAGTCTTTCGATGTTTTATCTCATATTTAGCCGTGAGTGCTTTGATTGTATTATTTATAAAATGAGTTCCTCGATCATTAACCAATTCTCGTGGACAACCGAACCGTGTAATAATATTTTGATACAAAAAGGTTGCTACTGTACTTGCACTATCGGTTTTCGTAGCTACTGCTTCAGTCCATTTTGTTACGTAATCTGTTGCTACCAATATATACCATTTTTGTCTATTTCTCAAGGCTGGTACAATTGGTCCTACAAAATCAATTCCTTATTTTTCAAAAGGCGCTTGAGTCAGAATTGGTATCAATGGCATTGTTGAAGTTCCAGTAGGTCGACCCATTCTCTGACATGGGTCACAATGACGGATGAGTTGGTGGGCAACTGCAAACATTGTTGGCCACCAATAACCAGTCTGTAAAGCTTTACGAGTCGTACTGTCCTCCGCAAAATGTCCACCACAACTGTCCAAGTGGCAATCTTCCAATATAGTACACACTTCAGTCTAATAAATACAACGTTGCAAAACTCCATCCTTGACTTGTTTATATAAAGCTTCACCAATCATCGTATAAGGTGAATATTTTAATATTAAGCGTCGTTTAAGCTTTTCATTGAAATTGAGTGGAAAGGTTTGAAATGTCAAGTATTAAATTATTTCACTATACTCTAGAGTAATTACATCTACCGCAAACAGTTCCGCATCGGGTAGTGTATCGTTAATGGATTCATTATCCAATACATTGGATAACCGAGATAAATGGTCCGCATTGGAATGTGATTTTCCTAGTCTTACCTGAATAGTAAAGTCAAATTTCTACAATAGTAAAATCCATCATGTAATATGACCACTCAATTGAGGCTTATTAATCATATATTTTGAAGCATCATGGTCGATATGGAAAATAAATTTATACCCAAGAAGATAATGTCAAAACTTTTGTACACAATAAATCATCTCCAATGCTTCTCTTTTAGTTGTGGTATAATTTCTTTCAGTTGCTACTAATTGACGACTTACATAATAAATAGGGTGATCAAAACCCCGGTCATCTTTCTAACTTAGTATCGAACCAATCTTGACATTAGATGCATCTACATAAATTTGGAATGGTTTTGTCTAACAAGGTGCCACCAAAATTGGTGCTGAAATCAATTTTTTTTTCAATGTTTCGAATGCATTTGTACATTCCTTTGTCCAAAATGGATTGATCTATCGGTTGGTGGTTTCTTCAAGAGATTTTTCAAGGAAAGGTATATAATTGTGAATAGATAGATAAATCGCCAATAATAATTGACATGGCCAACAAATGCTCGAACACCCATAATAGTGTCTGGTTGCTTTAATTTTACTATAAACTTTATTTTATCCGAATCTGTAGCAATGCCTGCCATCGAAACTATATGACTCAATAGTTTACCAAAAGGCACACCAAATTGGTACTTTTTTGAATTTAAAGAAATTCCATATTTGGCACATTGATTCAAACATTGACATAGACATTCTAAATGCCTGGCTCTCATACTAAATGTACAAAAATCATCTAAAAATATTTCCATTGAAATGTGTAGATAATCTTGGAATGCTTGTATCATTACCCTTTGAAATTTAATTGGTGCATTACAAAGCTCAAATGGCATAACCTTATAGGCAAAGGTCTCCCAATCCATAGTAAAAGTAGTTTTTAACTGGTCTTCTTTTGCAATCTTAACTTGATTATAACCAAAGAATCCATCAAGAAATAAATAACATTCATGTCCAGTGATAGCATCCAATATACTATCCATGAATAGTAAAGAAAAATAATCCTTCTTGGTAGCTGCATTTAATTTTTGAAAAACTTGGCAGATGCAAACTTTTCCATTCTTTTTTGGTACCATAACAATTAATGAAATCCATGCACTGAAAAGAACCGAATAGATAAATCCAACCTCCAAGAGTTTATCCAGTTCTTCTTTTACCATAAGTGAGTATTTTGGATTAAGTCGATGTTGTCTTTCATGTATTGATGTAGCGTTCTCTTCCAATATAATTCGATACTCACAAACTTCAGCTAGAATTCCTTTTAAATCCACATATGACCATGCAAAAGTAGTTTTATGCATTAAAAAGTAATCCACCCAAATTTCTTTCTCCTTGCCTTTTATACCGTAGTAAATCTGAATGATTTAGAAAGCCTCCCCTGTACCTAAATTAATTGGTTGACATCGTGGAATTTCAAGAGTCCTTGGACTGATGTTCTACTCAATTCCAAAATCTTTCATAAAATCCGACACATTAAAACTTTTCAACTCCAGTTCCATAG